TTCCTCCTCGACCCAAATGATTTTAGTCGGTATCGATCTCAGCCAGCCCGATCCGATTCGATCTTGACATTCTTACGGTCTGCTGCGGCCCAGTGATCGCATGGGCGCCGCCGTGCACCCTGGTGCGGCCGATCCGATTCGGTTCTGGCTCCGTGCCGTTGCGGCCCGATTCGACGCGCGTTCCGATTCGATCCGATTTCCCGATTCAAAGCTGACTGATCGTGCCAATCGCCCATCCAACCGCCGGATGGGGGGCCTGGGCCCCACACCCCCGCCCAGGAGCGTACGGTTTCCCCGTGGACCCGTCCGCCGATCTGCCGGCGATGCGTGGTCGATCCCGAGTCATTGTTTTCCCCGTCTGGGCCAGGCCCCCCCCTCCCCTCTGGGCCCGCTCGCTTCATCCCTCACCTTCCCTTGGGGCGCGCGGCGCAGCGGGGGCCACCGCTGACGGTCAGGGGAGGGGGAGCGCGACAGGGCCGCGCCGCGCCCAAGGGGAGGGGGGGCGCGAGGGGGGGGGCTGCTTAGAAGGCCAGGGCCTTGGAAGCAGCCCGGCTTCTTACGGGCCTCCTTAGGACAGGGCATGGGGTCGATCTCGGGGGGCTCGGACTTCTGACGGGCGGTTTGAAAGGCGCAGTTTCAGGCGACTTGCTCCGGGGGGATTCAGGTGGGAGCCAGTTGTTGGACAGTTTTTGGCATCTGATGCTCGTTGCGGGCCCCAGGTATCATCAACAGAAAGACACATGGCCCAAACCCGGTAGGTACTCTGGAGGGGGTCGAGAGGTCTTTGGTCTGGCGATTCAGGACAATTGATGCGTAGGTCTTGGCCTGCCTCTCTTTCTGTCTGTCTGTTACTCTCTTCCTCCTCCCCCCTCTGTCTCTCTGTCTGTGTCTCTGTGTCTCTCTGTCGCTGTCTCACTCTCTCTCTCTCTTATCCCTCTTTGAAGTCAGAGCGATTTATCATTGGGACGTTCCTTGGGGCTGGGCCGGTCTGTGTCCCTGGTGAGGCTGTCTTGGACTATCTTTGGGCCGTCTTGAGGCCTCAGAGGTCAATCGGAAGCGGAAGGTCGAGAATGCGCAAAGCAAGGGAAGTCAGATTGGAGGCATTCCTCTGGGCCGACTTCGGTTATCTTGCGTCATCCCTGAGGCCATCTGGCCCCATATCGGAAAGACTTCGGGCCACTTTGGACGCTCTAATACGTCCTGACACCTGGTCGGACCACCAGGGAGGCGGTACTACAGGGCAGGGCTGGACCTAAACGCTGTTTTTCTGGACTTCGGCTGTGTTTTGTCTTTCGTTTTGGCAGGGGGGTACAGGAAAACAGGTAGATCAAAACGAACAACAAAACGAACACAAAACGAACAACGACGTTTAATTCCAGCCCTGCTACAGGGAAGTCGCATGCAGATGACACGGCCAGTCTGGGCGAGAGCTGCACACACACACACACACACACACATGTGGCCAGATGTCTTTCCAGCGCTCGGCCATCCACGTGTGCATCCAGCAAGTGGCCTCCAGATGCTCTGCTTTTGAACCCAGCCATGTGTATGTGTGTGTGTGTGTGTGTGTGCGTGCGTGCGTGTGTGTGTGTGTGTGTGTGTGTGTGTGTGTGTGTGTTCCAGCTTCTTGGTAGGCAGGGTAGGGGTAAACCCCTCCCCGATGGTGAATTAGGAGTTGTTTTGTAAGAACTGGTCCGCTCAACCGCCTGCATCCTCTGCGACACATCGGCTGCAGTGATGGCGCGGCGGCCAGGATGGCGTCCGTGCTAGCCGCCGTTGAAAGAGCCAAAGCTGCAGTCGCATAATATTCACGTATCAAAGATGTGCCGCTGAATAAGTACTTTCCAGACGGGCTTGTCGTGCCGCGCCACGCCGAGCATTGCTCCGCGCAAGGTGGCGCGCGTGGTCGCCTTCGTTTCCGCGAGGAGGGCAGGGCTGGCGGCCTCAACAAGGCGCCGCGCGAGGTCGCCGCGTCCTCGTGCGTAAGGCCTATTGGTTACTTAGTCGCTCGCCTGCTCTCTGCCCCTCCGCTCCCCCCGACTCTTGGTATCGGCATCACCCACGCGTTCCTGTACTAGGTGTGCGTCGGCCCCGCACGGGGCGACGCACACGCTCAGATATCTCATAGTATCAGCTCCGTCGCGCGCTGCTTTCTGGCCATCACGCCCAGGTGCCAATCTACGGTGAGGTTGTTGTACTAAACGTCCTGGTCGGACGTGCGTCTCCAGCAGAAACACACAGTCCTCGCATGTTCTTCTGCGCCCCATGACGGCCCCCCCCCCCAAGCAGGCGGCAGAGGGCGCGGCCATCGCGGGCGGCAGCGACGTGCCCGCGACCGTGGAGGAGGACAGAAAGCACCTGGTGGAGGCTTGGCGGTCACCGCTGGCTGGCAGGCAAGGTGAGCGAGGATGGCGGCCGCGGCGCGGTGGCTGCGGCGTGGCGATGCCGGGGCAGTGCTCCGAGCTGTTCCATCAGAGTTGAGTGGTGGGTCGCGTTGGGGGTTGGGGTGGGTGGGTCGTGTTGGGGGCGGGCGGGATCCGTTGATGGAGTGGATGCGGTGCTCGTGGGGGAATAAGAGCTGGGCCGTCGGGAGGGGTGGCGTGGGGGTGGCATGTTGAGCACCTCGCAGTAGTGATGTCACGGTGCCGCCTTGAAGGCGGCCATGGACAGTGGCGATGGCGAGGCACCACGACGATCGTGACGACGATGGGCACAGTTGCGACAGCAGTAACGACGGCACGATTCTACAGGCTGACGCCACATCCGCTGACCCCTTCATTGTGAAGGCCTTATGGCCGGCGCCGCCGACCCAGAAGGACGACGACGACGACGACCACGACGACGACCTCGACGACAAATACACCGACGAGCTGATGATCATGCCACAAGCTTGGGACATGGGGCGGGCGGTGGAGGAGGAGGAGGACGAGGAGGCGGAGGCGGAGGCGGAGGAGAAGGAGGAGGAGGAAGAGGGCGAGGAGGAGGAAGCGAAGGAAGCGGAGGAGGCGGAGGGGGCGGAGGAGGAGGATGAGGCGGAGGAGGCGGAGGAGGCGGAGGAGGCGGGAGGAGGAGGAGGGAGGGGCGGAGGAGGCGGAGGAGGAGGAGGAGGAGGCGGAGGTGGCGGAGGAGGCGGAGGGGGACGAGGGAGGGGAGGGGAGGAGGAGGAGGAGGAGGAGGAGGAGGAGGAGGAGGAGGAGGAGGAGGAGGAGGAGGAGGAGGCGGAGGAGGAGGAGGGCGGAGGCGAGGCGGGCGGGGAGGCGGAGGCGGAGGCGGCAGGAGGAGGCGGAGGAGGCGGAGGAGGATGAGGAGGAGGAGGATGAGGAGGAGGAGGAGGGAGGAGGGAGGGGAGGGGGGGGAGGGGGGGGGAGGAGGAGGAAGGGGAAAAGGAGGAAGAAGAGCAGTAGGAAGAGGAGGGGGGACGACACGGGAGGGACACAGCACAGGAGAGAGGAGCGGGACAAAGCGGGGAGAGCAGGAGGAGAGGGAGGAGGAGGAGGAGGAGGAGGAGAGGAGGAGGAGGAGGAGGAGGAGGAGGAGGAGGAGGAGGAGGGGAGGAGGAGGAGGAGGAGGAGGAGGGAGGAGGAGGAGGAGGAGGAGGAGGAGGAGGAGGAGGAGGGAGGATGAGGAGGAGGAGGAGGAGGAGGAGGAGGAGGAGGGGAGGAGGAGGAGGAGGAGGAGGAGCGAGAGGGACGAGGACGGTGGGTTGCGGTCCCCTGCGGCGCGTGTAGATCGATCCACAGAACGCCCCGAACGCCCCCCCGAGCGGGAGCGGGCTGGCCCCGACCTGAATAAAGACCAGGTCCTCTCTGGAGGCGGCGTCGAGGGGGCGGCGTTGGAGAGGGTCTGTCGAAAGCGGGGGCCTTGGGAGAAGGAGGAGGGATTGCGGTGTCCTGCGACGCGTGTAGATCGATCCTCCTCTGCTTCCCCCTCCTCCTCCTCCTCCTCCTCCTCCTCCTCCTCCGCATGGCTGCTGAAGAGGGAGAGGACAGAGGCGGGCCAGCAGCAGGGGCAGGGGGAGAGGAGCAGCACGGTGTCCACACAGGCCGGCTCGCGCACCCGAGCCGGCGCGGCGCCCGGACGACAGAGGGGCGCGCCCTGTCGACGGTCTGCGGCCTCTGGGCCACGGGGGGGTGGGAGAGGCGGAGGGGGGCGGAGGAAGGAGGGGGCGGGGAGGGGGAAAGGGGAGGATGCGGGCCGTCCGGCCTCGGCGCCGGGCCCGCCGACCCTGCCGGGCAAGCGGGGGCCGGTGTCGTTTCTGAAGTATACGCCACGCTTAATTAATCACCGCGCCCCCCCGGGCAGGCAGACGGGGACGAGAGACGACCAGACGGAGGACGGGGACGGGCGAGAGGAGCGAGAGAGGCCACGGAGCCAGGAGCCGCCCGACACCACGCCCGACGCCAGCTCGCGATGCCTGCTGTGCACAGCCGCCCTGAGGAGGGCCTTCCTTCCCGGGAGCAAGTCGCGGAGACCGCGGGCGGCCTCGTTGTCGTTGGGGCCCAGAGGACTGCCGCTCTCCGCGCGCTGCGGGGCTGGCGAGATCAGGATCCCGAGCTCACTTTCGACGAGAGCACGATGAAGACGTACGGGGCCGTGAAGATGTTACGCGGAGAGAATCACCGCGTCACCGAGGATTTGCTGGCCCAGATGACTACGCACGTGACGCGCAGCACCATCGTGGGGCAAAAGTGTTTGTGCACGTACAAGTCGATGATGCCCGCAGTTCCACAACACGCGGCGAGCTTCCTGATCAGCGCGTCGGGCGTTTCTGACTAGCCCGCTGGCGTGTGTGCAGAGTCCGCGTGGGTATTCATGCCAGGGTGCCCGAAGGACCTGCTGGAGGATTACTTCTACCGCGGCGACTGTCGGGGACATTGCGCGCAGCGTGCGCGCGTTCGCCTTGAAGAAGCAATTCGTGACTCCAGGGCCGTGGCAAAGTAGCCCGCGCGCGGTCCTGTTTTGGGCCATGCGGTTTATGAAGTACCTGCGCGACAAGGCGCTGGGCGACGGGCTGGCGCTCCCCGACGCCATGACGTCTTACGACAAGAAGCTTCTGCACTTCCTGCTCCGCACGCTGCGCGACGACATCTACGATTGTTCATCCCTGTGTGCGTTCCAGGACTGGCTTGACTGCATTGCTGCCTTGCTTCCTGGGAACCCTTCGGCGGCGGCGCTGCGGGCGCTCGTGAACTGCGACCGGGCGCAGGACGAGGCCCTCGCGATCGACGCGAGTTGGGGGTCGGGGCCCAAATTTTGTTTGATGGCCTTCGGCCCCTTCCGCCACCGCGCCTGCGCTGCGGCTTAGAGGTTCGTTGTCAGGGTCACTGCCCAGGTGGGCGCGCTTGGCAGTTGAGTGGGTGCCGTCGCGAGACCACTGGTTAGACATGCTGTCTGGTCTTCTTTCTGTGTGTGCTTGGCTGATGGGCCAGAGGCCTCGTTCCACTTCGTGCCGTGGGCGCGGTGGCGGCGCGCAGCGCGTGCGAGATCGCCCACTTCGACGTGCGATTGGCGCAGGCGAAGAGGCATAATGAGCATTTGCAGGAGCGGGCCTCTCGGGCGAGGGGCACGTTGGCGATGGCGAGGACGTTGCCCCTGGCGGAGACGGACAATGCGGAGATGGCGAAGGCCCTGGCTGAGAGGATCGCGATGGTCAGGCACGCCATGGGCGACGAGGCCCCCATGGACGAGAAGATCGAGCTCATCATTGCGGACGCACAGGGCCGAGGCCGTTTTGAGGGCTGGGGCCTGGGCGACGCCTTAGAGGACATCCAGGCCGCTCGCCCGCTCCTTGTGGCTGAGGCCGATTTCGCGGCGATGACGCAGCAGCAGTGCAAGACGGCGGCGGCGGCTGCCATCGAGACGGGCGTGGACTTCGACGACGTTCCCGACCCCGCGTGCAAGACTTTGTTGGGCACGGCGAAGCAGGTGATGGAGGCGTCTGGAGAGTCCGCGCGCTTGCGCGAGGCCAGGGGGGCGCCTCGCGCGGCCCGAGCGGCGGCGAAGTGCCGCCTCAACGTGGCCCAGGAGGCAAGCGCGGGAAGGGCGGCGGAAAGGGTTGGAATCGTTGCGGCGGATCAGGTGGTTTCGACCAATCGCGCGTTGCGTCGCAGCGGTTCCTGCGACAAATCGCTTCTCCGGCGCCGCGTGGCCCGCCGCGGCGGCCGCGTCGCCCCCTCCGCCCATCCCGCGAAGGCGTTGCCGGCGCTGCCCCCCTGGTCGCGCTGAGCAGCGCGGGGGGGGGCGGCGTGCTCGCTGCGCGGGCGAAGCTCGAGGCTGCTCGGGGGTCCGTGGGGGGCGCGGCGCGCGGTGCAGCCTTCGTGGGCGTGGCCAGCGCGGTGGGGCAGCGGCAGCTCGAGGCGGCGATGAAAAATGACGGCGGAGGAGGAGGAGGAGGAGGAGGAGGAGGAGGAGGGGGAGGAGGAGGAGGGGGAGGAGGAGGACGGGGAGGAGGAGGAGGAGGAGGGGGAGGAGGAAGAGGGGGAGGAGGAGGAGGAGGAGGAGGAAGAGGAGGAGGAGGAGGGATGAGGAGGAGGAGGAGGAGGAGGAGGAGGAGGAGGAGGAGGAGGAGGAGGAGGAGGAGGCGCGCAAGCAGGCGACCGCGGCCGCCGGTGATGCCGGCGGCGCCCTGGCTGGCGCCGCGGCTGGCGCTGGCGCCCCGAGCGAGGCCGCCGCCGGAGCCGGCGCGGGCGGCGCCGCCGCTGCGAGCCTCGCGGCGGTGGGGGGCGCGGTGAGCCTCGTCGACCTCGTAAAATTGAAGAAGGAGTGCGAGCCATGCCTGGCCGAGGCGACGGCCATCTCCACGGGCAGCGAGATGGTCGCGGTGAAGATGCTGGACGGCCCAAAAAAGGATTCCGATAATATTTGCAGCAAGGACCAGGTCAACAATAATATCACGGCGGACGCGGCGGCGGCGGCGTTCGACGCCGCCGTGGAGGCCGCCTGCAGCGGCGTGGGCGGCCGCGAGGGCGGCGGCGCGAGCGGCTCCAGCGGCGGCCGCTCTTGGGCCATGCGCATGGCGGATGGGGGCGCCCAGGGCAGCGAAGACGAGGCCGCAAAGGCGGAGCGTGCGAAGAGCGACGAGGACCTCGCGGACGAGCTCTTCGGGCCCTCCTTTGACGAGGAATGAGCGGGGCCCCGCCCTGCGCGGATGGCCGGGCTTCTATCGGACCTTGGAGCCTTAGAGCCTCGCGGCAGTTCAGTCTCGCTGCAATTTTGAGTCATTTTTGCCAGGGGTGCGGATCGCGCTGGGTCAGGGTACCAGCGATTGGTTTTGTGTTTCGCCGACGGAGCCGTCGTTGTCGGCATGTGGTTCCCGCGGGCTTCGTCGTCCCTGCTGGCGTGCTCGAGGATCGCAGTTTTGGGAGTTCGCCAGCTTTGAACCTCCCTGGGAAAGCGTCGCGCCTCCCGCGACTTCGAACAGATGGCGCCGCGGGCCGCGCGAGTCGCCGCTGGATGGGCCAGGGCTCAAGAGGGCACTGGAACGGAATGCGCGATTACACCAGGAGGCTGCAAGATCGTCACCTCGGCGTCTCGAGGGCCGTTTCGAGTCCTCTTGGAGGTCATCTAAGGCCCATTTCGAGGCCGATCTGGAGCAGTGATGAGCCGTCGTGTTAGGCTATGTTGGGCCCTGATGTGGTCCCGAGACGATGCCGACCAGATTTCGTTTTTTGGAGGACGTCCCGAACGAAATTGCGATTTTCAGGTTTCAAATGAGGGTGTTTGACCTGCTTGGCACTGGGACGGAAAGCGCGATTACTCTAGGAGGCTGCGAGATCGTCGTCTCGGCGTCTCGAGGGCCGCCGGGGGTCCTTTTGGAGGTCATCTTTAGGGCCGCGCCGGAACCGATTCGGAGCAATGTTATGTCGTCGTGTTGGGCTATGTTGGACTCTGAGGTGTTGGACGCCAGCTATCTACAACGTATAGATATATAAACAAATTTTAAGCCTCAGCTTTTAGGCCCTGAGAAAGGGTATTTAGACCTGCTTTGGCATGGGGACGGCAAGCGGTGGCGAGATCGTCGTCTCGACGTGTCGAGGGCCGTTTGGCGGCCTTTCGGAGGTCATCTTAGGGCGACCTCGGAGCCGTCTTGGGCCGATCTGGGGCAATGTTGGGACGTTGTGTTGAGCTCCGTTGGGCTGTTTTGAGGCCGACCCAAGCAATCTCAAAACGATGCCGACCAAACCGCTGTTGAGGATATCCTGAGCGAGATCGCATGCTTCCTTCGAGATAAGGTGTATTCGATGAACGGCCGCGGCTGCCTACCCCCCGCGGCGCCCCCGGGTGATTTCCCCCGACCAACTGATTGCGATCGAGGAGAGGGGGGGGGGGGGGAAAAGGGGGAGGCGAAGGAGGAGGAGGAAGAAAAGGAGGAAAAGGAGGAGAAGGGAGGCGGTTCAGGAGGAGGAGGAAGAGGAACAGGAGGAGGAGGAAAAGGAGGAGGAATATCCTCCGAGTCCTTTGCCGCTGTTTGGCTTTCAGCAGCGCGAAGCCAGTGCCTTGTCGAGACGTCGACGCTGATCCAAGGCTAGTTCTATGTTGCGTTGGCGCGAGGCGTGCGCGAAATGTATTTGGAACGATGTACATCGATCTTCATGGGCGTAGTGTCGGACAGCATCCGTGCTGGCCGCGTGGCCGCGCGAAAGTCCTCCTCGATGGCGATTTTGATGCGCGGTTCCCACTGCCTGAAGAGCTCCAGCGCGACGCAGGTACCCAACTCGCCCTCCACGGGTGCGTCCGAGCTCTTCGCGGCAGTGAAGGCGGCATCCGAAGTCGTGGGGATGGAGGGGTCTGGCGGCTGATCTGGCCCAGACGCACAAGGCCGCCCGCGCGTTCGCGGGCGCCCCTGCGGCCATGGGCATGGCGAGCCGCAGAGGGGCCGGCAAGGTGAAGCAAGGTGAAGCACATTGCCACCCACAGAGGCGCTGTGGCTTCAATGCGCAGTGGCCTAGAAAGCAGCCGCGATCCATGATCCACGAAATTCACGTGACATCAACGGCGCGGACATCGGTACGAAAACACCTCTTGGTGCAGAAAATTTGGGATCTAATTCGCCGCGTCGGTCGTGTGCGACATGGAGGCGCGGCCTCCGTGCAGCTGCAGGCCGCCGGTGCTGGCGCAGGCGGGCGCGCGTGAGGAGCTTTGAGATTGGCGCTTGCCTTGAGTGAAGCTGCGCCCCGCTATCCGTGGCTGCTCACCAGTCCTGCTCCGCCTCTGCCCACTGTCCGTGGCCCACGCTCCGCCGCCGGTGCCCTCTGCTGCAAAAGAGTGGCAGGGCGCACGAGGAGACAGAAACATCCGGGGTAGTACGAGCGTTTTTCGCAAGTACCGCGGATGACGCTTCAAACCGGACTTAGCCCGAGAGTCCAACGAACATCATCGATGCTCAGAATCACCACGGAAAGTGTTTGGCCAGTTTCGGGGTTTGGGGAAGTCGCTTGGCCCTGGGACGGTCGCGCTGCCCGCGCCGCGCGCCCGCCACTCTTGCGGGCGGGCGGCTCACTGGGTGCTCGCCGAGGGCCGGTGGGAGCTTTCTTGGGGCCGTGTGGGAGCCTTCTGGGCCCTCTTTGAGGCCGCGCAGAGGTCTTTCGGCGCCCCCCTGCGTCGTCAGAGGCGCACTTTGGGCCGTCGTGGGCCGTCTCGAGAGCATCTTGGGGCATCTGGGGCCATTCCCGGGTCTCTCTGGGGCTGCCTGGGAGGCCATGTGGGTTGCCTGGGGTTGTGAGCCGTCTTGGGGCCCTCTTGGGAACCTTTTTTTTTGGGGGGGGGATCTACGAGGCCAGGCCTTCTTGGACGTGTTGGATACGCAAGAAGCAAATACTGAACATGCCAGTTTCCCCAAGGTAGTGTGATGATTTTGGATTTTTGGAGCCTCCCGTTGGGTCCTCTTGAAGCCGTGTGGGGCCGTCTTGAAAACTTCCGGGATTGTATTCAGGCCGCTTCGGGCTATCATGGTACCATCTGGGGTCACGCCCCATTTTGGGGCGTTTTGGGGCTTCTGCGAAGCCAGCTGTGGCCGTCCGAAGCACCTCGGGGAGGGATGGGGCCCCCGGCACGGCCTGGGGACTGCCCACCCCGTTCCAGGCCGACCGGATCGGGTTCCCGAGGAAGGGTTTGGGCAAGGGGCAAGAGCTTTACACGCCGAGTGGACCCCAAGGGGTCGGCGGAGTTATCTTTCAATGGTAAACGGCGTTGGTGAAAAACGAAAGGCAGAATGGGGGTACTGACCATGTTGGTCACGGTGTGCTGCTAGGTGGCAGCGCGATCGGGATGGTATTTTCAATGTGGATGGCGGTAGCGGCGACGATGTGGAGGTGATAGTGATGGTCTTGAATACGATACAAAATGTGCACACGCCGCGTGAAGGAAAACGGGGAGCGTCGCTCTGGCAGTGTAATGCTTCAGCTGTGCGCGCTTGGCCCCTTCCTCCCGCACGCAACTACTCGACAGCGCACCTTGGTGCGCGGCTTTGCTTTCTTCTGGGTCACCCGCGGAAGCGCGAAGGTTGTCGCGCTTTGTGCGTCGCGGTCCGGTCCAGAGTCGCTGCCCTTCCCCGAAGGGCGTTCGGAGAAAACGGTTCGGGCTGAAGAGCCGGCTTCAAGGTAACTCCCGTGAGTCCAGTACCCGTTGCCGCTGGCGCTTTTGTTTCTTGTGCCAGGGCTTGGGCGCCAAGGCCATGCCGTTTTCCCTCTTGCCCTCCTGCCCCATTTGCGTTGCCTCCATGCGCCTCGCGTTCCGTGCTCGAGCTTCTCCCACCCTCCTCCCCCGGCATGTCCTCCCTCTCTCTCTCTTTCTCTCTCTTCGTCCTCGTCCCCACGCGTTTCCTGTCACGTTCTCCTGCGGCCTCATGCAACCCGTCTACCCTTGCACGGAGGCGGTGATTGTGCGCATTATGAAGAGCCGGAAGACGCTGGACCACAACCAGTTGGTCATGGAGGCCAGTTTCTCAAATCGCTTGCTTGCTATGGAGAGAATGATGACGCGTAGGTGGATTGGATTAGATCGGAGCTGGATTCAGTGCTGTCTCGATACTAACCCAGCAAATGGAGAGTCGCCATTTTTCATCTAGCACCCTTACCTCGCCTTCGGTGTGGGCAGGGGGTGCAAGCTGAAATGGCGTTTCTAGACCCTTCGCGTAATCCCACCAGCCCAGTCAGAAACGATTCCCAGACGAGTTGCCCTGATCAGTAGTGCGGAGGAGCATACAGTGGAATGAAGGGCTGGGTCAGGCGTCGTACCCGAAGAGGGAGAGGATGGAGAAGTAATCGGAGGTGCAGGAGGAGGACGAGGAGGAAGAGGAGGAGGAGGAGGAGGAGATGCGAGATGCGAGATGCGAGAGGGGGAGACTTCTTTGGACTCAGCCTGGCGTTGCAACAATTGTATGCCTTCATGTCGCTGAAGAGTGAGTGGGTGCCGCGCACCTCGAGCTACCGAGACGAGGCTGCACGCGTGCGCCCTCGCTTTCGGAGGTCGATGTGGAATATCCTCCAGCAAGCGGTGGCTGCCGCGAGAAACGTCGGGGAGGAGGTGAAAGAGAGGACAGGGAGAGAGGCCATGGCGATTTGAAGACAGTCGCCAACAGCCAGGGGCAGCAGGGGCAGCAGCTAACGCTAAGACGTGCACGCGCCTCCATTCAGAGGCCACGCTGGGGCTATCCTCTGACAAGAAGGCGAATGACTGTGTAGTCAAGCCTGTCTCGTTAAGCAGCAAGGGTGCGTCAAAAGGTGTCTGGATAGCCCGCAAAGAAGAGCCATGGCGGCGCGAGAGGGGGGAGGACATAGTGGCAGGAGCACGTGGCGGGGGCACATCGAAGGCCCACGGCCGAAACGCAAATGGAAAACAAGAAGGCGGCTTAAACCATCGCGCCTCTGTTTGAGTCGTGGCTTGCCGCCCCAATCTCCTAGTTCGGCGGGCGGTTGACTCGAGAAGAAGCTGGTTGGGCCATCGTGCTACCTGCTGTTGTGGGACATGGTCTGTGCGGCATAGCAAAAGGCATGGCGCACGGACTCCTGGAGAGGCGCGACTGTGCAGAGGCCATGTTCTTAGGAACATTACAGTTACCCAGAGACCTCCTTAGGGGACGTGTGGTATTGTCCAAGCCATGCACAATTAAGTGAGGCAGAGAGGAGACTGGACAATTGCCATCTTGGCAAGGACAGAGTGCGTAGGCCGCCGCACTAAACGATACTATGGACGGACGCATGCTTCGAACTTTCTCTGGAAGAGGAGGCCTGAGGGAGGAACGACGTACAGGCGAGGATGTACGACGCAAGTCACGGTGCGACTGGGCATGCGCCTCGGGAATGAGGGGCGAATGCGGAACCACCCGGCTCTGAAGAGGAGCTTGTGTACGAATCTCGCCCCGTAGCCCCACCCCCACCCCAGATACCTAACGCCACGAAACAAGAAAAGATGCGTTTGCGGGCCGCAGCACCAGTACATTCAACTGTCACGTGTTAGCCGTCACATTCTTTGAAATAGGCTTCGCGCCGACATGTGCAAATTCACGCATCGTCTTTGACTCTGGGGGATCAGGAGAAGGCAGGCAGGAATATGTAGATACATATTTGGGAGGAGGTCTCAAGTAGGCCTTGCAACCTGGCGCGCGCCTCTAGCCAAAGACATGTCGAGCTTCTTAGTTCGGCAATGCTTAGGAGAAGGCTGCGGACTTGCATTCCTCCACCACAGCCAACCTTCCTACAATGTGTGCAGCCTCACTCGCTGGAGGATTCGGAGCGTTTGGCAGTAGGCTCAGGCTCGACCTTCGCCTTCTTGCTTGATTCCTTTTAGGGCTCGGAAGAAGACGCCGCCGCCGATGACGGAATGGCACGGTCAGAAACGCGGATCCATTTCCAGGTCCAAGTCTATTTGCCAGGAGAAGCTGAGGTCTGTGTCCAAAAATAGGGATGGTCCGAGCCGTCAGCCAGCCTCCAGGTGGCGACGTAGCTGGTGCTGGTCGGAGACCACTTAACGTATGTGGTTGTGCCGTGGTGGTAACACCAATCTTGTACCGGCGCTCCACCTCGGGAGTCGCCTTCTTGGACAGGCTGAGGAGGGGCGGCGCACAGTTCGGAGGGGCCCACGGCAGGCGGAGGTGGATCTGCTGGTGCAGAAGACCTGCAACTGTTTCGTGGCCGTAGTTCGGGCAGATGTGGCCATGACACGTCGTGGTGACGGAAAAGAAAGAGGGGCGAGGGGGGAATTGAGGAAGGGCGCCTCGAGCGCCTGTTTGCCTGGCCGCAAAGAGGCACAGTGGCGTGTAGACCATCTCTCCCAAAGCCTCCATCTACTTGATACGCAGGAGACGGGAAATCAATGAGGAGCTGGGGGAGAGGACGAGTAAAAGTCATCGCCGGGGCAGGAGGCCGCGAGGTGTGCGCCGTCAGTCGTCACCGTCGGGCGCCTCAAAATTATGGGTGAGATCCTTGAATTCACAAGGGAAGGTGTGACATAAATAAGGAAGTATGAGAGGCAGAGAGGCAGAGAGGGGGGCGTTCCCCATCCCCCTGCGTTCCTCCCTCCCTTCGTCTCCTTCTCCGTCGTGGTCGTGGTCGTGGTCGTGGTCATGGACGTGGACGTGGACGTGGTCGTGGTCGCCATCGTCGTCGCCGTCGACGTCGTCGTCGTCGTTGTTGTCCATGTCGTCGATGTTCGTTGGCGTCGGCGTCGGCGTCGGCGTCGGCGTTCGTCGTGTTGCCGTGTTCGTCGTCGTCGTCGTCGGCGGCGGCGGCGTCGGCGTCGGCGTCGGCGTCGGCGTCGTCGTCGTCGTCGTCGACGTCGTCGTGTTCGTGTCGTCGTCGTCGTCGTCGGCGTCGTCGTCGCTGCCGTCGTCGCCGTCGTCGTGTGGGCGTTGGCGTCGGCGTTTGCGTCGTCGTTCGTCGTGTTCGTCGTCGTCGTCGGCGGCGTCGTCGCCGTTGTCGTTATCGTCGTCGTCGTCGTCGGCGTCGGCGTCGTCGTTGTCATCGTCGTCGTCGTCGTCGTGTCGTCGTCGTCGCTGTTGTCGGCGGCGGCGGCGTCGGCGTCGTGTCGGCGTCGTCGTCGCTGCCGTCGTCGTCGTCGTCGTCGGCGGCGTCGTCGGCGTCGGCGTCGGCGTCGTCGTTGGTCGTGTTCGTGTTCGTCGTCGTCGTCGTCGTCGTTGTCGTCGTCAGCGTCGGCGGCGGCGGCGGCGGCGTCGGCGTCGGCGTCGGCGTCGTCGTCGTCGTTATCGACGTCGACGCCGTCGTCATCGTCGTCGTCGTCGTGTCGTCGTCGTCGCCGTCGTCGTCGTCGTCGTCGTCGTCGTCGTCGTCGGCGTTGTCGTCGGCGTCGGCGTCGGCGTCGGCGTCGGCGTCGGCGTCGGCGTCGGCGTCGGCGTCGGCGTCGTCGTCGTCGTCGTGTCGGCGTCGTCGTCGTCGTCGACGTCGTTCGTTGGCGTTGTCGTCGGCGTCGTCGTCTGCGTCGGCGTGGGCGTCGGCGTCGGCGTCGGCGTCGTCGGCGGCGTCGTCGTCGTCGTCTTCCTCCTGGGAGGTGACCCGGCATTTGACGTCCCGATTCCAGCCGTCGCCCACGCTCATAAAGCAGCGCATCGAGAAGCTCATAGAGCGAGAGTGCGCCGCAGCCGCCCGCCGAGTGGCAGCAGGGGGAGCAGGACTATTCAACTTGACATCGTTTGAACGTGTGCATTTTTTCCCTTCGAGGACCATCGAGGAGCATCTTGGAGTGTCTTGCGAAAAACAAACGCACGGAATCGAAACATACACGGGGAATAGACGTCCGAACGATGGCACGTTCAGGGATGAGCAGCACGATCGCGCGATGGGCCCGTCATCAGCTGCGGGCGCAGCCGTCGGCTTGCACCGAAAGCCAAGGTCCGATGAGGAGGAGGAAGAGGAGGAGGAGGAGGAGGAGGAGGAGCCCGCGTTCCTCATCAGCTGTATCATACTGTTCTCCGGCGGCAGGTCCAGCGGGAATTGCAAGCCGCAGCGCGTTGGATCGGATTTGCGCCCCCCCAGGACCCTGCTGAAGGACTCCGTCGGAGTGTCTTTCGGCGTCTTGAGACAGTGCTGGGGTGTGTTCGGACCGTCTTAGAGGGCGGCGTGGTCGTCTGGGGGTCTTGGAAGGCCCAGGGCTGTCTAGCAGGCGCCTTGGGGCCACCCTGGGCCGGTGGTCCTGACGCCGTCTTCGGGGCGGTCGTGGGCCGTTTTGGGACTTTCTTGAGCGCTTTCGCGCCGTCTTGGTGCTATTTCGCGGCCGCTTGTGGGTCTCGGGGGCTGCCTGGGGGGACTTCTGGGGCCTCTGCGGTCTCCTGTGGCGAGAAAGAGCGGCACGCAGGAGACGTTGAAACGCTCACGTAATTTTTTATCGTTCTGGACCTCGTGGGGTCCTGGATGCCCTCTTGGAGCCCAGGAGGCCGATTGCGCCCAGGAAGCCGTGGGACTGGGGGATGCACACAGATGGATGCGGGGATGAAGGGGGGGGCCTTTCAGCAGTAACCAGTTTCAGAAACCCAGCCATACGGCACTGGCATTCTTCCGCTACGCGCCGCGGGGCAGGGTGGTGGATCTCATGTTGACGCGTCGTAGCTGATTAGATGACATCTGCGATTGAGCTCTTCGCTTGTTGGTCCCTTCTTGCTTTCCTGTAGTCTGTCTCACTCCTGGCGATTTTGTCCAGCCGCTCAGGACTTCATCCCCAACTTCTTTTGAAATCTTGCGTCCGCCTCCTCGTCAGTCAACTTTCTTTGTTCGGCGACAGAGCGCGCGTCCCTGGCAGATTCTTGCTCGGGTGGCGCGAAGACGGGTGCCGAGCCGAGGTGCTTCCTTGACGCAGACGGATGAGGACGCTGATGCCGATGCTGATGAGGATGCTGATGATGATGCTGAAGATGATGATGCTAATCATAGTAGTGATCATGATGACGATGACGACAGGGGTTATGATGGTGAGGGGATGATGGGGATGCTGATGATGATGGGGATGCTGATGATGGTGATGGTGCTGAAGATGATGCTGCTGCTGATGATGGCGCTGATGATGGCGCTGATGATGGTGAGGATGACGATGATGGTTCAGTTTGGGTCAAGGGTCAAAGGCACAGTACCTCACTTTGAGCATCCACCACTGTTCTCACTCCTCCTACGAGTATGGCGTATTCTTCTTCTTGCGGGAATATTAACGCATATTGCTCGTGCCAAAGTCGTAGTCGTCTCAGGGAGTCTGCAGGAGGTCATAGGGTGAAGGCGCTCTTGAACACAAATTCGCCAACGGCTTCAAAACATCGAACAAACAATGAAGACGGAGATCTTTGCTAATATTGTGGAGGTTCAGAGGGATACAAGGCAGTCAAGGATAACGTAAAGGTTATGGCTACTCGACTTTGTGAGTCGAAGCTGCAACCAGGTCAGGCGAGTGGGGAAAGGAACACCTTCGGGCCGCGCCATGCGGAGGTGAAGGGTTTTTGCGTGTATGAGGAACGCCGCACGAACGGAACGACTCGGCAGGGCATCGCAGCTTTTGTCGACATCTTCAGGAACGTGCTGCCTCCCCACGTGCGGGAGCTATGGAGGTTCCTGTCAAATCGGGGCAAAGAAGAGCTACACATTCCAAGTCCAGGTGGATGTCGACTACTTTCACGAGATCCAGGATGCCATGAACGAGTGGATCAAGACCTACGCGCCTACGCTTCTGGGCAAGGTGCTACACCTCATCGTGGAGCGGAGCCCCGAGGAGCAGACACTTTACAGGAATACTGGTTCTATCACGGCGGAGTTGCAGCTCTGCTTCGACGGCACGGGTGTCAGCTTCAGAGGGGACTGGCGCTTGAAGGTTTCCCACGTCACACACGGTGCGGGCCAAGAGGAACACCTGCTCTCTTTCAACCCGGGCTTCGTCCTCTCGTAGAGCCAGGCGGGCGTGGGGGCCACGAGGAAAGCAGGGGCCGCCCTGGCGGCTGCCATGCGATGGTGTGCCCAGGGATAGAAATCACCAAGGCAGAAGCCACGGTCGGAATCGTATCATGGAATTCGTGCCGCAAAAACTGGAATCATAATCGGCGTAAGCTGATTCGTCGTCTTAGAGAGAGCACTTGGCCGTGAACTGCGGATGCATGTGAACGAAGTGGGTACTTGGCAAGATCGCGTAATTAGCGGAATACATGGCGGATCCTCAGCGAGATTTGCAAGGATCGCGCAATTGCGATCCCCCGGTTTCGAGGCGAGGCAGCGTGTGTGGCGGAGCATGGCCGGTGCCGTTCACTTGCTTCATTTGTAATTTCATTGTTAGGTCTATTCATGTCATGCACAATTCAGGGGAGACATCTGTACGTGTTGACACTCTACATCACGTGGAATAACAGCATCATGCATGGAAGTCGCAATCAACATGAACACCAGTATGCATAACTGTCGGCGTGGGTCTCAACTTCATTATTCCTGATGGTGTTGACGGTATCTCGGGGGATCGTGTGTTGAAGCGACAACTTTGCCATGCAGATCGCTAGCAAGAATTCGGAAGTTTTTGTCGCAATTCGAATGTGAAGCCGCAGCTCTACTCGGGGAGCGACCGTCGGAAGAGATGGCACGAGTGACGTGGAGAAACAAAGCTTGCCTCCTTGTGCGCTCATATTGATCTCGTATTTGCCTCGGCAGTTGCGGGTCTTCACCCATGCGGATCGATTCATGGGTTTGCGGATCGACCGTGCCCTAATGTCGGCCGCGCGAATTGTTCCACGACGCCCATTTTTTCCCACGTCACAGAAAGGATGGAGCTTGCAATCCGTACCGGAGGACTTGAATGATGATGTTTTGAGAATGAGTGGGTTGTGCGGGCGCTAGCCTTTTTTCTTTGTGGAGGAAGTCGTGCGCAGTCTCTCACGCATTGGGGCTGGAGTCAGAACAGCAGTGCTCAAATATAGTTTTCGCGCCGCAGCTTCTGCTTGGCCGCTGAGGCCACTGTTCCTGGGATTATGGAGGCATCGGATATTCCAGTGAATCAGGGTAGTCGGCAAGGCGGAACGGGCGCCGTGATTTCGTGGAATTCTGGAATGCCGAAAGGTGCTTTTCCGTCCGAGAGGGGCCCCGGGATCAGCCGCGCCGACTGGGCGGGCAATCTTTTCTCGGTCGCGGAGCAGGCCGCCCAGCGTCAACGCGTGTTGGTCGATGTCTCAGATCGCGCTTGCAATTTCGCTTTGCAGTGGTCGCAGGAAGTCTACTTCATGCCTGGTTTCAATCTTTCTGTCAACTCCAGTGGGTGCGCGCCCCCGCCTGACGGCGGTGCGCGCGAGCTGGAGGCAGTTCCTGAACTTGAGGTGTTGGGCGTGCTATCGGACTGGCTGGGCAGCGCGGAATTCTGTCTGCGTGCTCCGCTGATTCACCGGGGCAAGGGCGGCGTGCGGCCGCGTGGTTTCTAGTTTACAGGGCCGCGGGGGCCCGTCGAGCAGCGTTTGCGCTCGTGGGGCAGGGCTTGCTTTATCCTGGGCTCGTCGGTTCGCGCCTGCAGCGCAAGTGCTGCGTGGCGCGAGGCGGTTGGAGACTCGTTGGCGAGAGCGCGCGTCGGAGCAATCTCAGGGCCAGCGCCCTCATGCGGGGTCTTTTCTCTCTGCGTATGGTGGCATCTACCTGCGTGGGGGTTTCGAAATCCATGTCAAAATGTATCACTGCCGCGTGGCATTTCCACTTGGGCGATGGGTGCCCAACCGCTGAAGTTCCACGCGGGCGCGCGCCCGCCCGCGGAGCGGAGCGTCGGGCAGCTCGCCGGGGAGCGCGCGGGCAACTTCGCATCTTCAGGTCGGCTCGTCAACGCGGAGGAAGCCGGTCTCATTGGGGGGAGATGTTGGGCGTAGTCGGCACAGAGTGGGGAGTCTCAGCGGTCCAGGGTCGCAGCGTTGGCGTCAGCGACAGACAGCGGGCCGGCGCAATGCGCGGCGGCCGAGTGCCGTGCGGGGCGCGCCCGCGCAGTGGCGTGTGCCGCGGGCGGTCGCACAGCGGTGGACGTGCTTGTGGGCGGGGCGAAGCATGAAGAGCGCGCGGAATCATAGTTGGCACCTCGACGAAAATGGCCCGCGCGTTTCTCGCTGTGAATTGGGGGCCGCGCGATGAAACGGGCGGCCCAGTCATGTGCGGGCGGGGGATTCAACGAAGAAGCGGACTCCTTGGCGATTTGGGCAATGGGCAAAACGGGCGTTTTTTTTTTTTTTTTTTTTTTTTTTTTGTATTGTAGTGGCATCGAGTTCACGGTCGATTCCGATCTCATACAGTTGGGGCGGAGTAGTAGGTGATGTCGCAACGAGCAACATATATTTGATCACGCTTGGGTTCTCGCAGGTCAGCGCGCGGATTCCTCCATTGCGGTCGTCGCGGCATGTGCCGGGAGTAATCTTGTGAATTTGCGGAGCAGCTTATATTCGAAAGCTGACTAACGCGTTCCGCTTGGGTTTTCCCGTGACTGGATTGTTTGAGGAGTTCTGGCGCGCATCCTCAAAATGCCCCGCGCCGTTCGCAACCGACGCAGATGTTTGACAACCCGTCATTTTAACAAGTGATTCCTATTTTCGGGTATTCGGCGAGACGTTTGATGATGGCGGCGGCGACGGTTGCGGCGATGATGATGACAATGATGATTGGGGTGGTTGCCATGATGATGGCGATGATGATGACACATACGACGGCCATGATGGTTATGATGGTGGTGGTGTCGATGATGACGACGACGACGACGGTGCTGATGGTGATGCTAGGGCAGCTGGTGTGTTGGCGATGTTGATGATGGATGACGACGGCCACGATGGCGATGCTGACGGTTGTGGCGATGCGGGTGATGATGTTGGTTGGAGTTGCTGTTCATGCTGATGAGTTCGGCGGCGACGATTATGATGAACGTTGGTTTGATGATGGCGATGGTCGTGTTCATGGTGATGGCCACTGTGATGACGGCGACGGCGATGATGATGCTGGTGGTGGGTACGATGACGATGAGAATGATGGGTGGTTCTCGAACTGTAATCGTAGAGCGATGGAGGGCCGTGCGGTCTGCAACCGCCACGGCTCAAGCCTTTCCTGTGCCCGCCCGCTACCTCCCCTTTTCGTCTTCTCTCTCTCTCTCTCTCTCCTCGTTCGTTTGTGTTGTGTTGTGTTGTGGTTTGTGGTGCCGTGGTGTGTCTGTGTCGTCCGCTCGTCCCTCCCCTCTCGTTCGTTTCTTGCCGAGCTCTGCCCGTGTGCCAACCTGTCCTGCTGGACCTGCCTGGCCCGAGACACACAAAAGGTCTCCTGGCCAGGGGTAGCGTCACGATGAGAATGATGATGATGATGCGGGCGACGACGACGGCGACGATGATAATTTCATTGACGACGCCGATGGTGGCGATGATGGCAATCGTGGTGATGATTTTTATGATAATGATGATGAGGACGACGGCGGTACGAATGATGATACAGATCACGATGATGACAATGATGGTCATGACGGTGATTATGGTCATGGTGTTGGTGATGCTGTCGCCGATGCGGATTAAAACGTGGATGATGATGGTAACGATGATGACGATGCTGATGATGATGACGGTTATGCTAATGATTTTACCGGTTTTGGTAAAACGACGAGAAACAAGGAAACGACGAGAAACAAGGATGAATCATCAATGGTGAACTATGAATGATGAGCGGTGAATGATGAGTGATGGTTGTGAAGTTGTTAACAGTGATGGTGGTGGTGATGACGGTGGCGATTGTGGTGATGTTGATGATGTATTCGAGGAGACAGGGTGTGATGAAGGCAGGCGATGAATGGTTGAGGCCGGCCACCCTCGCCCCGTGTCCGCTCGCGCTCCTTGCCAACTCTGCTTTCCAATATTGTGGTTGTGGTCGTGGTGATGTTGGTGATGTGTTAGGGAAGAGACAAGGTGTGAGGCAGACAGGCGAGAGATGGTAGAGGAAGGCCACCCCGGCCCCGTGTACGTTCGCGCTCGTTGTCATCATTGACCTTCCAATGTCCCCCCCCCCGCCGGGAATCGTTTCCCTCGCGCCCCTCGCCTGCTCCACGCGATGGTCCTCAGGACGTGTGCTGGCCCTATGTGTGTGTGTGTGTGTGTTACCGAAATTACGCAGCCCGTATCGGACCTCGTTGCTCCGCTAGCCTCTTATGGAGAAGTTTCGGCGGACAAGCGCACGCTGGCGGTAACACATTTTCTGAGGATCATCGGTCCACCTCATTTAGATCTTGCCTGGCAAGCTCTCAGAGCCTCCGAATCTGCTTCGCTTCTGCCCCCCAGTCCCACTGCCTGCTCATCCCAATCAGAAGCTTGGACGACGCGCTGATCGGGTTGGGGCGAGGGGGGTTGTCTTCCAAAAAGGCGCCCCGCCCCTCTGGCCCCCCCTGCCTCCCCCCCTCCGAGGGCCAGAAGGCGAGGAAGACGAGCGCGAAAAGGAGAAGGAGGAAGGGCCACTTGGGCTTGCCGCCGATCGCACGCCCGCCCACGTCTGCTACCCTCGCCTCCCTCCATGGCGCCTGGGGGGGTGGCCGCTCCCCCGTCCCGCAGATACCTCGAGAGGTCGCAGCAGGACCGCAGGGTCTGCCCCCCCCGCGCGCGCCGCGGCTCGGGGAGTGGAGCTCGAAGGAAGGAACGGGGGAGGGAGCAAAGGGGGGGGGGTATGGAAAAGATGAAGGAGGAGGAAGAAGAGGACGAGGAGGAGGAGGAGGAGGAGGAGAGCTGTCGTTCCTCTCGTTCTCCCTCCCCTTGCCTCTTCAGGGGAGCAGTCATCGTTTTCCGCCCCTATGGCGTGAGGCGGGGGCGAGGGGGTTTCGACGGCTCCGGGCTCGAAGCCGTAGCCGCCACCAGCTCATAGCTCATAGGAGGAGAAGAGAAAGGAGGGGAGGGGGGGAGGAGCAGCGGGAGGCCGAGGCTTTCTGGTCCTGAGGTGCATGTTCTAGCGCCGCAGTGCCGAATTCGACAGAACGAACATCTTTGTTGGATCCCCATGTTTGTGTCGTATTCGAGCTTTCTGTGCGCGATGGTCCTGGGATCAGCGAGGCAGTGATGGTATCCTGGCACCTTTGTCTCAGGGATTCGATTCTCTTCGTACCGTGACCCATGCGGGTGCTAGACGTCATCCACATGTAGTATTCTCTGGACTATTTTAGAAGAGTTCGTGTGTTCTCATCTTCGGCGATCTGCGAAACCACTCACCCTCCCCTCCACCACCGCTGCCCGCAAGTGTTGAGCCCAGAACGCCCAGCAAAGCGACGCTCTGTGAAACCACTCACCCTCCCCTCCACCACCGCTGCCCGCAAGTGTTGAGCCCAGAACGCCCAGCAAAGCGACGCTCTGTGAGAAGGCGAATCCAGCACACGCGGCCGTGCCTTTCATTTCAGCCTGCGTGCATGGACCACCTCGAGGCGCCAGAAGGAACACATAATTTTAGCACACTTAGCAACCAAGTGGGATGATTCCATCGATATCAAGAGCGACCATATATCTATCCGGGTGAAGGCCTTTTCTGGGACGGCGAAGGCTTCTCAAACTCGTCACAGTCGGAGGACTGCAAGGCTTAGCAAGCTTCATTATTTGTTCACCACTGCTGTAACGCTTGCAAGACATTCACAAGATAGGTGCGGAGCAATGCCACGCCAGGATCTTGTGCCCCAGACTCTGGAGCACGCCACGGTTCGATCTCGAGTGGCCTAAACAGTCTCCCCAAGTCGGCTTGGCTGTCGCTCAGGAACCCATCAAACAGACGCGACAGCGCGGACCGGTCTCCGCTTCTCGGAGCGCCGTCCCTCGAGCGGCCTGGCCTGAAAAAGAGCACCCGCAAGAGTTCGAAGGTTCGCGCGGACTGCTCGGTTCGGTGCTGGGCTCCCCTACCTGGCGTGCGGAGCGCGCCTGGGGCGGCGCTCCCGGCGCTGCTAGGGGGGGCCCAGCGCCGACCCAAGAAACACGCCTGGATCTCCTCACGTGAAAGTTTTGTGTGCATTTTTGCTGTTCCTCCAGTCTCGTGGGCAACGATAGGAGTCATGGGCACAGGGGGGATGCATCGACCTCGATTGCTTCATACAGCAACGATGCATCGTTGACATCAGGGTACGCTGCCCAACGACGTACATGGGCGATGCATCGTCGACGTATCGACGAAGCATGGGGCGATCTGCATCGACGATGAATCGACGACTCATCGACAGCGTATCGACATCGACATCGACGACGTATCGACGAGACATGGGCGATGCAGGGGCCATTCGAGGTCGATGCATCCCCCTCTATGCCCATCCACCCTCTTTTTGTCATCCCTCACAGTCCATTGAGCGGCCCTGGCCCGAAGAGGACCGCCCGCGAGAGCGCCCCCGCGCGCCGCGGCGGCAGGTCTACAACTACCTTGCCTGACGGGCCCTCGTGGCTCGCACCGGGCGTCTCACCGCCGCGCGGCGAGGACCCGACGCGGCGGGGGGGGATCATCATCGTCGTCGTCGTCGTCGTCGCTAATCGTCGTCGTCGCCGCCTTCGCCGCTCGTCGTCGTCGCCGTCGTCGCTGCTCGTCGTCGTCGTCGCCGTCGTCGTCGCTGCTCGTCGTCGTCGTCGTCCACGGGGCGGGGACGGGAATAGGACCAGGGGCAACGATAGGGGGCGATAGGCCAAGGTGGGGATGCATCGACCCCCAGTCGCCCATTCATCGTCGATAGTAATATGGGCACGATTGTCCCACCCTGCCCAGGAGCGTGCGGATTTGCCATCGGGGGCCAATCGCCAATCTATCGGCGATGTATCTCCGATTCGAGCTCGCTGTTCCTCCCTCCTCCCCTGAGCTGGTCCCCCCCTGTCGTTGCCCCTCAGAGGTGGGGAGGAGGAGGAGGAGGAGCCGGAGGAGGAGGATGAGGAGGACTCAATTTTTTAATGTCTCCTCTTCCTTCTCTTCACTCTTGGGCACGCGCTGCGCGCTTCTTTTTCGCTGTTATGAGCAGTCGTTCTGACGCATTCTTCTCATAGTCCGACGTTCTCACCGTCAGGCTCTGCGGCGAATAGGCCAGAGTCAGGGCAACGCAAAGATCAGGAGGAGGACGTGCTTCTATACGCTCCTTTTGTCTCGCGAACTGCGCTGGATCGAACTCGTCCAGGTCGGCCGCGACGCCGGTGGACCAGGTCAACTATGGCGACGATTAAATAGACGTCGACCACATATTGCCGTAGGACGCCCTGGGGACTGCGCCACTGAGGCGTGGCGACCAGCACCAGAGCGTGTCCACGGTGCTGGACGGGCGCTGGCAGTTCTTGCGGGCCGACCGCGCCGCGGTCCCTGTCGACAGGCAGGGCCGATCAGTCGCATGAAGAGTAGAGGAGCAGGTGGGTGGATCATTGGCTTGTCATGGTGTCCTGGGAATGAGGGCGACTCCATAGCCATTTTGGCGATGTAACAAATTGGGGGTCGTCTGCGCCGACGTTCGCGCGTAGGCTCCCCGCGTAAGGTCGCGCGTAAGCGCCCTCGTCTCCAGTGCAGCGTGCCGCGCTGGCGGCCCGCGTAAGTTGCCGCGTAAGGTCGCTATGCCATCTCGCGTAAGACCCGTTTTTGATTGTCGCCCATTTTGGTTCAACCCGCTTGTCTGAGAGGTCTCGACGGGCAAGACGGGCCTTTCTCTGCCAGGCGTCGGCGAAAAGCACGCAACCCGTCCGCCCCCGCGGGCGGCCTCGATCACACCTAGACGTGTACACCAACCGTGCTCCAGCTCTTTTGGAGAAGTCGACCTTGCGACGGCAAAGACAGTCAGCACTGGCACACTCATGTTCTTGCCATTACTCTACTCTATAGGCTTACGCCACATCCGCCGACCCCTTGAATTTTTCGGCAGCGCGGTCCTGCGGACCATCGTTCACAGACGGCAGGTCTCGGTCCAAAAGCCGGAGGAATGGTTCTCGAATGGCCTGCGGTGTATCCCGCCACCGTATTTGGGTTGCGGGTCTGGCGGCACTCGGATGGCTGATGCGATGTCGTGGGAGGCCTCACGTGGGCGTCTTGGAGGTGGTATTTGGGTTCCTTGGGGGGTATTTGGGCTTCTCAGGGAGTTTCCTGGGGGCCTCCTGGGGTACTTTGTGGCTCTTTCGGGGATCTTTGGGGCCTCTTGAGGGGTTCTTGGGGCAGGCTGGGGATGTCTTGGGGCCGCAGGCTCGAACAATTGCCGTGTGGGGTCTCTCTTGGAGCCGACTGGGGGCCCTCCTGAGCTGTCTTGGGGTTCTTGGGCCGTCTTTGGGCGATATTGAAGGCTTCGTGCCCCGTCTTGGACGTTGTGAAAGCTCAAAAGGCGAATCTGCTAAACGTATGCGTTTAACGAACGGACTGGGTTGATTTGTGTTTCTTGGGGCCCTCTTGGGACGCATTTTTGGGGCCTCTTGGGGCGTCATGGGGGCTTCGGGGGCCGTGTGGAGGCTATCGTGGGCGTCTCGGAGCGATGCTTCGGCGTCTCGAGGCCCTCTTGGACGGCCTGGGGGGCGTCTTGGAACCCTCCTGGATGCGGGATCTCGTGTCGATCGCCTCACGGCGCTATTACGGGATATCACTTGGACCGGTCGAAGAAGCAGCTGCTGCGGGGGCGCACAGCGACGATCCATGGATGGGTGTTGCATGAGGACGAGGTAATGGGAGATAAAAGCGAGGAGGTCCTGCTGCATTTACCGAGAGTGGTTGTGTTGGACTTTCATACGAAGGAGTGGCGCCTGCCAGGCTGGGGGCCATGCCTGTATCCGATCTTCCTATCGAATGGGCGGCCGGCACTGGTTCTTGGACGGTATCGGGGGCATCTTGTATTGAGTGCGAATCGCACCCAGTTTATGACCGCCCCGTCTTTGGCAGTGACGGCGCGCTCAGTGCAGGGCTGGGCCATCGGGGCAGTCATTGCGGACCTTGAAAGAGGGCGCGGCGTCAGTTGGATGTCAGGTTGCGTTGCCATCGTGCGCGTGCGCAGGCGAGGGGGCCCTTGGAGCTTCCAGCCTGTTGATAGGAAGCCGCACAACGAAGGTGGGATGGCTTGCGCGAAGAAGCTGTTGCACGTGCTCCGAGGGGAGAGCGCGGATTGGGGTGAGTGGGAGGCGGAACTAATGCCGCGAGATCAGCGCGGGCGGTGCAGGCGGAGGTTGCTGGTAGAAGCGTTCGCGAAGTGCGAGTTCCAGAGGGGAGAAAGGCCAGCGTTTCGTAAATGATGCGCTTCGGAGATGGAAAGTGCGAACGAGAAATGATGCAACACGTGCAGAGGATGGGCAGCCGAAGCGGAGGGCGATGTTCCGACGCGGCGCGGCGGCGATCGGGGCGTTGCGGGACGTGGCGACGGGGGGGGGGGCGGAAAATATCAGGACTGTGCTGCGCGAAGTGCCAGGACAGCAAGTCGAAGAACAAGTCGCGTAGTAGCGACGCGAGGTAGAGGTAGAGAGAGAGGGAGAGAGAGAGATAGATAGAGAGAGAGAGAGAGCGCCTGCGCAGCCCGATGTTCAAATAAAGCGTGCCTTTCGCTTTTTGACGACGATGCGGACATGTCGGGGGCGCAAGAGAGACGCGCCGCGGCCAGGGAAAGACTGCGTCGGACATGCGCCGCGGCAAAAGCAAGGGCGACGCGAGAAACACATGCGGAGACAGCGGGCCGCAAGAGGAAGGTAGAGGCGGAAACAACGTCGTTGACGTGCTGCGCTCCAGATTGCGGGGTTATTTTTGGGGGGTGCAGATCATGTGGCCCGCAACCGGAATAATAACCATCGGACGAAGAAAGGAGCGAGAGTGGCGCGCGGGGGTTGCAGCAAGCGCGGCAGAACCGCGCAGGTAGTATACAATGAGTCGAAGCGCCTGTAGCGACTGCTGACGCGTGCGTTCTGTGAGAAAGAGTTCGCCTTGCAGGAACGCATCGCCGACGATCAAGTGAGTAAGCAATTCACAAGGAAGAGTCAGGTTGTATGCGCAGATTGCGTTACCGACGTGTTCACGGTGCGCAAGTGATAAGCCTACCAGCGCAGTGGTACATTCCAAAAGAAAAGGAACTGCCGACATCGGCCTTCGCCGTAGACGGTAGCCACCTCGCGCGTGACGCAAAGAAGGGCATCCTCAAATGCAAGTCGTGCGGATGAGATTCAATTCGGCGCCAATGTCATCGCGAGTAAGGGCCCAAAGAAGCGCCCGCGGTGGAGTATAGTTTTTCGTGGAGGGTTTCGTGGGGTGCTTCGTTCATGTTCTTGCCATTACTCTATTGCTCCTCCTCCTTCCCTCCTCCTCTCCACCGCCGCGCCGGTACGGTCGGTTCTGGGAGGGTGCCCTCGTGTTCTTCGTGTCTGTTCTTGCGTCCTGGTGGGAGGGTGCCCTCGAATGTTCTTCGGTTTGGCCACCGGAGGGTCTCCTGTTTTTGAGGGATTTCTTTTTGGCCTCGGTCCGACTGCGGACCGACCGCGTTTTCGCTCTCCTGGAGAAGTCGACTTTGCGACGACGAAGGCAGTCAGCACTGGGACGCTCTTGCTCGTCGCCAAGCCTTTCGATGCGGGCATGCTGCCCAAGGCAAGCATGTCGAATCAACGGACACAACACCATGCCCGAAAACGTCGATTACGAGACACATGCGCGACGATGTTACGTGCAGTGGTGACCATCTGCGGGTTGAACGCGTATTTGCTTGATGTTTTAATCGGATCAGCTGGACACGTTTTAAGACAATGCCGCAATTGACGCATATAACGAGAATATAATCAGCACGGCAATCACGACGCACATTGGAGTTGCCAGCGGTGGTGTGACATACTGGGGTTGGGGGTCCAGACACAAGCTGGAGTGGTACGGTATTCCCTCGCGTTTTCAGCAACCACAATTTTTCCAATCGGGCAGCCGATCAGCAGAGCGGCGCACGACGTCATGACAGGTATGGTACCAACCAGTTGGTTACTACCCCCTCCGGTCATACCCAGTCTTCCCATCAGCTTAGAAAGTGGCGCAACAACACCACCTACAGCGCCACCACAGGCAGCTCCCCCAAACTTGAAACACCTACTCCGCCCAATACTAGGACGACATTCGCCATGACCGGTTCCAGGATGCGCGGCGGAGTCCGTCTCGGCCCCTCAGGTCACAGCCGTCGGAGAGCCAAGCCGCCCCGTCGCAGGGTCGCCGCCCGGGGGCGGCCCACCGCGTCGCCTTGCCATTACCGTAGTGTTCCTCCTCCCTCCTACCGCCTCTCTCCTCTCCACCGCCGCGCTGTTATCTGAGGCTCTGAAGGTGAGCCCCGTTGGCTAGCGGCCGTCAGCTTCGCGGCCGGCCCCCGCAGCGCCTTGTGCGGTGTCTGGCTTACGGGTGGTGCGCTCGCGTCTCGGTGCGCCCAGTTGTGTGTCTGGTGTCTTGTTCTTCCGTTCCCTACTACTGCCAGTCACCAGCCTCGTTGAGCTGGTGCAAGTTTACGCGGACAGCTTCGAGCTTCGCGGCGAGCTGAGCTGACTATACTTGGGCTCCGCGCTGGGCGAAGCAGCGGCGTGTTGGGGAGTGGGGCAGTTGGGGAACTGAGTTTCGGAGAGGGGCTGCTCTTGACGACTTTCGCTTCGAAGCGGGGGTAGTATTGACGATCTTCGCTTCGGAAGCTTTGTCTTGCTGTAGGTTGGGCCGGTCAAGGGCGTCTTGTCGGCCCGAGTTGGGGGTCTCCCTTGATGACTTTGGGGCCTCTCTGACGTCGCGGCCTTGCGGTTGCTCTTGACGGACGGCCTCTCGTGGATTTTGGCCTCACCCCCAACGGCCTGATGCCATAGGCGCATCGAAGGGAGGAGCAAGGAGGAGGAGGAGGGAAAAAGACACGGGGGAGGGGTGATGGAGGAGAGGGAGAGGGAAGATCAGAGGGGGAGGAAGGTTGGGAAATGATGGATCGGAGGGAGGAAGTGAGTAGAGGAACGCAGAGGGCGGGAGTAGGCTGGAGGGGAAGGGGGCGGGGAGGGATGAGGGAGGGGAGGGGGTGGGTTGGATGGAGGACGGAGGGAGGGTAATGGACAGGACCCCATCCCATGCCCCCCTCCTGCGGCCCGAGGATAGTGAGGTGCTGGCCTGTGGCTGTGGCTGCGCCTCGGCCGCGCGGACGAAGCAAAGCCAGCTCGGAGCGCGCGCCGGTTCCCTCCTCGCTGCTCCTGTTCTTCCTCGGGGTTCGAGGATCCAGGTTCGGAGGGCGCCATCTATACACACACACACCGATCCTGGCCAGGCCCACCTCGGGCCCAGGACTGGTGCGCATGCCTCCCACCGAGCCAGAACGGCCTATGCACCGATCTGGGGCCCAGGATGGGCCTGTCTCCGGTCGGTTTAGGTGTATCGTTGGCGCCTTCCCAGAGGTTTTGGGATGGTCTTGGGTTTGTTTCGGACGTCCTTGTGCCTCCAGTGGCGTCCATGAGGGCCTCCCCCCCCCCTTGGGACTTCCTGGAGGCCTCCCGCGGAAACCTCGGCGGTTTCCAGGGACTTGGGAGGCCAGCGCTTCTGCGACAGTCCGCGTTTCCCACTGGTGGGCCTCTGGAGGCCTGTCTTGGGATCCAGGGCCACGAGAACGACCCGCAGCGAAGAATGGGCCCAGTGGATGGCTCCGCATTTCCTCTCTTTCCTCCCTCCTTCCTCATTCCTTCTCTTTCCTGCCCCTCTCCTTGTTCCTGCTGCCTCCCTGCTTCCTCCTCCTGTCTTGTTCCCTCTTGTCGTTTGGCTGTCTGTTAAAAGGGGTTGTGGAGCAGCGTGCCGTCATTCACCGGCAGGTTTTTTTGCTGTCGGAGCAGCAGCCATGACGGCGCTTTGCTTGTGTACATCTGGCATGGGATTCAATGTTTGGAGAAGATTTCGGACTGATGCCATTTTCTTGAGGGTACTCCAGCCTCCAGTATCGCAGCCACCAGGGTCGCGCCTTGGCAAACCTGATGCTATCAGTTGTACCCTCTCCTCGGCTATCTGTCGCAGAAGTCTTGCAGCTCGGGGTCGGCACTGGCCGGCCAAGCTTCTGAGCGCAGACGTGCTCTGTGTGGAAGGGCACCGCAGCATGATGGAACCGTCGTTGACAGCGCAACGCGTGCGTAACAAGAAAGGCGGGCTCTGCCGTCCTGTGCTCACTCATTGCTGTGGTTCTGCGGTGGCGGGTGGTCGCTCATGCCTGCCTGCCTGCAGGTCTGCGGATTCGAAGTGGACCGCGGGACTGCTCAGTGCGGTTTGGGGAGCTCAGGTTTCACTACCAGAAACAGCATAGGCACGCATGCCATGTTGTGAAAGGTTCTCCGGCTACCGGTGGCGCAGCCTTCGGTGGCGCACCCGCCAGGGTTCTACCAGGGCAAAGCCGCCTCTGCCTTTCGTTTCCTTCCTCATGCTTTCTTCTTCCCTCCGTCCTCTTTTGTCATCGCTCCTTTCTCCGTTCTCCTTCCTTGTTCCTCCCTTCCTTCCCCTCTGCCTCTCCCCCCCTCCTCCCTCCTCCCGCTGTGCGTGCCGCTCCGGAGCCTTGGAACTTCCTTTGCCGAGGGCAGACGGAGCGGGATGTCATGCAAAGGGCAGAGGCGCGGGGACGCGGGGAGCGGGGAGCGCCGGGGGGGGGGACAAACCTTTTCCTGGCGACTCAGACAAGGAGCGCGCCGGAGGTGCTTCGCAGCTTTCCCGGCCTCCGGGCCGCTCCTGGCCCCTGGGCCGCAGGAGAGGCGTCTCGTGACGGCGAGGAGGTCTTGGGGAGCAGAGGTCGAGGCTCCACCCACGGCTCGACGAACTGAGCCGCCGTCTGGGGGGAGGGAGGCGAGGAGGGAGCAGGGCACCGAGCATGCAGCCGCGTGCCTCAATAGTTGTAGCCAGTCTGTGTTTCTCTCCTTTGAAGCGCGCCGCGCGGCGATCGCGACACCCCGCTCGCATCCGGCTAGTCCGCCGCAGCAGGGAGCCGCAGCAGCGCTGCCCCTTCGGCACGGCCCTGCTCGTGCGACCTCGTGCGTGCCCTCTCCCGCCCTCCTCCCAAGCAGCCCCCCCCCGTGTCATTCTGGGCCTCGTTCCTCTCGGGGGAGAGATTGGCATACGATGCGCATGAAGAGTTCTCGAAGGCCTCCGCAGATCTCTTGGGTCAGGACTGGACCCCCCCTGGCGGCGCCTCTGGCGCGCTGAGCGCGCAAGAGAGCGGGGAGCCTGGTGCCGACCCAAGAGATCCGTGGGGACCTCCGAAAGTTTATTCGAATCCATCTGTCTCTTCTTCTGCTCTCCCTCCCTCCTCCCACCACCAGCCTGAAACGGATCCCTATCCTCAGGATTCGCACACTTTCTGAAGGCACATCCCTCTGTTTGTCATCGCCTCGGGCTTCCTAATGTTAGGAGTCGGGACGAGCTCGCTTTTTATATTATATATAAACATATGTATATATATATATATATATATTACTATTATTATGCTTATTACTATTCTTATTCTTATTATTTTTGTTATTGCTATTCTTTTTCAAAACAAGCAGAGTAGAGACTAGAAAGCGCGCTGGTCGCAATCGCTGAATATCTTGACTTGCTCATGGCGCAGGAAAGATCTGGACTTGCTCATGTCGCATCTCTGGTTGTTTAGACTATCTGCGGTTTACGAACTCGCAACCCGTCTGCACCAGCCTTTCAGGCACAGCCGAATCATCCGTAATGTCTGGATAATCTTGTTTGAACCTCACCAACGGCATGTCCATCATGCTGTTTTCGGCGTGTTCAGCAGAGGATCCTCAGGCTTGTCATGGGCTTGCCATGGCGCCGCGGTGCCCACTATTAGTGAGCGACAGCAGCAAACCTCACAGCAATGGCAATGATATTTAGGGCGGTCGACTGGGGCCATTGGTAAGTTTTGTGCGACGAGCTGCTCACACTGCAACTGAGCGTACATGGCGCGCTCAGGTAAAGGACTCGCTATGTTTCAAGCGGAAATGTCGGCGGGTACCAGGCTTTTTGGAGCCTTCTTGGGAGCATCGGTGGCCGTCTTGGGGCGAGCTTGCGAGCCTCTTGTGCCGTCTCGGACGCTCTGACGACAGGGTGCGATACTGATGGTATTTCGTCACACGGCGTAGCAATGCATGCATTCAATACAAAGAAATGCAATACAGTGCATTGCGTGGCATTACATGGACTGTGCTGTAGGATAGCATTTCACATCTCTTAGCGTAGTATAGGCTGGTGTACAATGTCGTAGTATGACCTAGCATGTCGTATGACGTATCGTTGCATTTCGCAGTACAGCGTTGTGTCGCGCCAAAGAAGTATTAGGCCAAATTATGCAATGCAGTAGAGTGTGAAGCAGCGCGATGCAGTCAGAAGCTCGCAGGGCCCCCAACGCTCCGAGCGGCCCGAGTCTTCCTTGAGCCACAGGCTTTCGCTCCCCTATCGACTCATTGGTTTACGCCGCACCTCCGAACCCACTGGAAGCTTTGGATGCCTATTCCGAGGGACTTTGTCTTTGAAGCGTGTTGGCGCCGGGCGTCCACCTGGGGAACTCAAACTTGTGCTTCAAACGGGCCCCGTTGTGGGTTTTTTTTGGGTCCTCTTGGAGGCCTCTTGGGGGCCTCCTGGGGGCTTCTTCGGGGTCTCTTGGGGCTTTCTTGGGGGCATGTTGTCAGGAGTTCGCTCCCAGATCGATTGCTTGTGCAGGCCATTAAAAAGACGGGCGCCCCCAGCGGTCACTGGGGGTCCAGGGCCAAAACGTCTGGCCACCACCGGGCCCTCTGCACAGGCGGGGCAGGGACCCATTGGGCAGCACTGACGTTTGGGAGATAGCGTGGCGAATGCGGTTCTCAGCTAAGGGTGGTGCAATCGGCTGGGGCGCCGGTCCAGAGCATGGGGTACACCGTGTTTTTGTTTTACATTCGTCGCACATTGGAATGTTTCCCCTCCCCTCCTTCCTCCTCTGCCATTACTTTCTCATGTGTTCTCATCCTCCACCTCCTCGTCGCCTCCTCAACGGACCATGACCACGGCCACTACCGCTACCATGACTACCATGACTATTGTGAGCAGAGCTAAGAGGAGAGATGGACGCCTCAGCGGATCATACCATCCCTCTTTTTCCTTCCTTCATGGAAATTTCGTCATATCTCCTGCTGTCTCCTTTTTCCCTCCTCCCTGCGCGCTATTACCTCTTCGATTGTTGTCCCTCCATCCACATCCTTCCTACTTCTTGAGGGAATGGTGCCACGGCCATCTGCACAGTACTCAGCTTCACCCCACGGGTTAGCAGCGGTCGGAGGAGGATAATGATAATGGTGAGGAGGAAACGAAGACGACGAGGCTTTGGGAATAAAGACACGGAGACGAAGACGACACGGATATGGGTACAGCAACGGATGTTGTTTATGGTTATGATGGGGATTCGATGATAATGATGATTATTGGTAGTCACGGTGATATTGAGGATGTCATTGATACGATGTTGACGACGGTGATGATGATGATGGTAGTGATGATGATGGTGATGATTAGTTTGTTGATGACTAATGATGATGAGGACGAGGATGAGGAGGAGGATGACGATGATGATGATGATGATGATGCTGATGCTGATGCTGATGCTGATGCTGATGCTGCTGCTGCTGATGATGATGAGCATGAAGATGAATACGATTATGCCAATACTGATGATGATGATTCTACGTATGATGATGATGGTTATGATGGTGGTGGTTCTGACGACGATTGTGACGATGATGATACGGATGAAGCCAATAACGATGAGGATGATGCTGATGAGGATCTGGCGACGACGTCGACCCTAATGACACTGCTGATGATGTTGAGATGGAGGATGATGACGACGATGATGCTGATGATGATGACTACGGTGATGACGATGATGATGATGACGATGGTGGTGGTGATGATTCGGATGAGGATGACGTTGCTGTTGTTGATGATGATGATGCTGATGCTGCTAATAATGATGCGGATGCTGCTGCTGATGCTGATGATGATGAGGATGATGATGCTGATGATGATGTTGACCATGATGATGAGGATGATGATGAGGATGCTGATGAGGACGGTGATGATGATGATGATGATGATGCTGATGCTGATGATGATGATGCTGATGCTGATGCTGGTGATGATGATGATGCTGATGATGGGGACTTATGATCATGCTGGCTATGATGATGATGACGATGGTGATAACGATGATGATAATGATGCTGATCTCGCTGATGATGATGATGATGATGATGATGATGATGGTAATGATGGTAATGCTGATGCTGCTGATGATGATGTTGATGCTGTTGCTGATGCTGATGATGACGATGATGGTGGTGGTGGTGGCGGATGTGATGATGATGATGATGATCATGCTGGTGATGCTGATGATGATGGTTGTGGTGGTGGTGGTGGCGATGATGATGATGATGATGATGATGATGATGATGATGATGCTGATGCTGATGCTGATGCTGATGCTGATTATGGTGATGGTGGTGGTGGTGATGATGCTGATGCTGGTGATGATGTGGATGCTGATGGATGATGATGAGGATGGTGATGATGCTGAGGATGATGATGCTGATGATGATGCTGCCGATGCTGATGCTGATGCTGATGATGATGCTGGTGATGCTGAAGATGATGCTGCTGATGCTGATGATGGTTATGACGATTGTCATGATGATTGTGATGATGATACTGATGGCGATGATGGTGATGGTGGTCGTGGTGATGATGATGACGATGGTGATGATGATGCTGATGATGATGATGATGATGATGCTGATGATGATGATGATGATGATGAGGCTGCTGATGCTGATGATGCTGCTGCGGCTGACGATGATGATGCTGATGATGACGATGATGCTGCTGCTGATGATGATGGTGATGGTGATGATGATGTTGTTGGTGGTGATGATGATGATGATGATGATGATGATGATGATGATGATGATGATGATGGTGGTGGTGGTGGTGGTGGTGGTGGTTGTGGTGGTGGTTGTGGTGGTGGTTGCGTTGGTGGTGGTGATGACGTGATCGTAGTTTCGGACAGGAGAGGAGGGGACTGGCAGGCGGACCTGATCTCGCACCTCTCGTCTGCTTGGGCGCGTGGCGAGTTTAGGCGCCCATTGCGCCAGCGCCCAGCGCGGGCTGGCCGAGTAGAGGGTCCAAGGTTCTGGGGGGCAGCTCGGAGCGGGCCTCAAGCCAGGTGGGTCCCCCTTCCGCACCTCCCCCCTCTGACCATGATTCGAGGTTCGAGGCATTTGGCAGTTTTCTCGCCCTCTTGAAGGCCCCGGGGAGGCTGTCCGTTTACACGGCTAGACTCCCCTCAGAAGTTTGTTCGGAACACCCCTCAGGAGAGGTCCTGAGGTCGATTGGGATTCTTCAATGCGCCATCAAGCAACTGGATCCTGAGGGAAACAGGTCGTCAGGTCCTCGCCAGTTCTGGTCTCTCGGGGCCCTTCCTGGGCCCTTGAGAGTGCCGACTCCAATGGGGGCTTGCCCTCCGACAACGCCAGGGTCTCGAGTTCCGATGTCCTTCCCTCCGTCGCGGTCGTGGTCGCCATTCTGGGGGGCGTCGACTATCCACCTCGCCGCTCCTGGCCCTGGGCCTTGGGCCCAACATCGGTGCTCATGCCCTCCTGGCCTGGCCAGGGAGGCAGTCTCACCGACCGTGGGCCCAGGATAGGCCCGGGCACGATCGGCGAGGTGCAGACAGCTATGTTGCACGAGGGTGAAAACAACCCTAGCGTTCGAGGTGAACCCTCATTGGAGAAGCCTTACGGCCAGTGCCGCCGACCCTGAACGACGACGACGACGACGACGACGACGACGACGACGTCGACGGCGACGACGACGACGCCCCTCATTTTTGTCGTGGTAGGGCATTCCACCTTGGAATGTTCTTCGGTTTGGATATCTCCATGGGGTCTTGGGCCCTCGGCGAAGGGGATCATGTCTCGCATTCTTCTGTCCATGCTTCGACTGTCGCCGGTGTCCCCTGTGCCCCCCTCCCCGCCCAACTCGCCCTCCGCTTCCCTCCCCTCCTTGACCAGTCGTGTCGTAAGAGTGATCTTTCGCCAGATTGACCTTTGGTGCGGGCCCAATGGGGCCCCCCGATCACTGAGCACGAAAAGGTAGCAGCGGCTTGCGCGCCCGTGTTTGGCCACCCCGCGTCTCCCTTTCAGCCTCGCATCAAAGGTCACTCTTGCCCAGGGTCACTCTTACGTGTAGCCGACCTCCGGGTTCTACCACCTGCCTGAGCTGACCCCCTGGGCGCTCGGAATCGGGCAACCGCGCGCTCCTGCCCATGCCTCCAGCCGGCGCCCGCGTGTCCTGGTAGACCAGCGGTTCGTGATCGGGAGACCCCATCGGCACTCGCTGGTCCGCTCTTGCCCCCCCCCCCTCCAGTTGGCACTGTCCGCACTTCAATGTGTTCGATTGTGGACCCCCTGCTCCGAGTCGCCCACAAGGGCGCGAGGGTGATCCCGCTTCGCGGCTCGCGGCTTGCCCTTCTCCGTGGCGGCGGCGCGAGTGCACGGAGATCACCGCGAGTCGGGCATCTTGGAGCGCGACGCGCCATGTTACGTGTTGAACGCAATCATCACCAATCATCCAGCTTTCGTGTAGAAGACTACCGAAGACCGCTGGAGGCCGTCCAGTAACATGGGGCTCGTGATCGAACGCGTAACTCTCAGGCAGACCCCTTTGACGCCTCGCGGCGCGACACCAGCCAGCCATCACAACCTCCGTTTGTGCGGACCAGCCTCTCCCCAGTTTTCGTGGAAGGAGCAGGCCTGGGGGGTTCGAGGGGCTTGCGCGGGGTTGATAGCTTCCAGAGGCTTCCAGAGCATACAGAATGCCTGGGCGGGGCTTCCCCAGGGAGACAAGCGGCAGCACCCCCCGCTCCACCCAGGTCTCCGACCACTTTTGTAGATGTTTCAAAGTCGCCCACCCATCGCTCTTGGCCTCTTTCTGGAGCCGGCTTTTCATTCTGAGTAGTTTTCTGATGGCGCTGGGGTCTGGGAACGGTTTCTGGACGCCGAGACTTGCAATCAACCATATCAGTTTTGTGTGATTACATCGAGTCACCAGACTCGAGGGGGAGGGATGGAGGAGGGGGAGGGGGAGGATGGGGGTAGAGCGGCAGGGAGGGGAGGAGGGATGGGGGGAGTGGGCAGGATCGGACGGGTGTCCGCGCGAAGGGGTCTCCTGGCGGTGCATATTGAGGACACAGACAATATGCGAGTGCCGCCCACTTTAGCGTGGTACGCTGTTCGCCTTGACGAAAATTCTCCTTCGCCAGCATCTCTGCGTGCCCCGATGTCGCTGCTCTTCCTCGTCCTTCTCCCTGGGATTGTAAGGCTGCCTGGCAGCACTAGAGCTATCCGCCTACGCCGGTCAATACTAGGCCGAACTTTTGCCAGGGGAGCGGTGGATACGCCGCTCCAGCCCAGCGGGCAAGGCGCACCCACCACTTTCGGGACTCGGCCTGGCCAGGTGGGCCTTCTCTGAGGTGCGCCTCCAGCTCACAGCGGGTGAAGCCATAGGTGACATCCGCGCATCGAGCACAGACCACCGTCCGCAGGCGGCAAGGTGGCTTGCATGATCCCAGCAGGACATGCACTCCAAGTGCCGCTGCAAGCGCGCTCTTCCCTCGCTCGTGCTCGAGGTCCTCCGCAGCCTTGAGCTGCCCCTGTCCCTGCTCCTGCAGGGGCGGGTGGATGAGCAGAGGGTGGACGAAGGGCGATGAGGAGGACTGGGGACCAGGATCGAGGAGGAGGAGGATGAGGAGAAGGAGGAGGAGGATGAGGAGAAGGATGATGATGACGATGACGATGACGATGACGATGACGATGACGATGACGATGACGATGACGATGACGATGACGATGATGATGATGATGATGATGATGATGATGCTGATGATGATGATGACGATGATGATGATGATGCTGATGATGATGGTGATCATGGTGATCATGATGATGCTGATGATTATGATGATTATTATGATGATGATGATGCTGAGGATGAGGATGGTGATGATGATGATGATGATGATGATGATGATGATGATGATGATGGTGGTGGTGGTGATGATGATGATCTGATGATGATGATGATGATGACGATGATGATGATGATGATGATGATGATGATGATGAATGATGATGATGATGATGATGATGATGATGATGCTGATGATGATGATGATGATGATGATGATGACGATGCTGCTGATGATGATGATGATGGTGATGATGGTGATGATGATGATGATGATGATGATGATGATGATGATGATGATGATGATGATGATGATGATGATGATGATGATGATGATGATGATGATGATGATTGATGATGATGAGGAGAGGAGAGGAGGAGGAGGAGGAGGGGAGGAGGAGGAGGAGGAGGAGGAGGAGGGAGGAGGAGGAGGAGGAGGAGGAGGGGGAGCCATGCCAGCATATACAATGCCAGCATCAGCGCAACAAGAAGATGAACTGAATGAGGGCGCGCTGGCAGCGGGCTCCGCCGGTGCTTGGCGGAATGTGGGGGCCCCGGGAGCCCGACTGCGAGTGCAGTGGGCAGTGGAAAGTGGAGCGCCTCAGTGGAGCGCCTGGTGCCATCGGTTACAACGCTGGGGTCGACGAGTGCGAGAAGGCCGAGTGGCTGCAGTGGGATCTGACGCTGTCCAGCGGGAGGTGCGTGGCGGAACGGGAGCCCGACGTCACCATTGACAGCCTTGGGGTCAGCGCGTCCGAGGAGGGCATCTGCAATGCTAGGATCAGCGCGTGCGACATGGGCGAGCAGGGGTAGCCGGCTACAGGGGTGCGCTGGGGGATGTGGGAGGTGAAGTGAAGTTGGATCGCCGGATCCCAACGTCATCAGCTACAACGGTGGGGCCAGCGGGCCCTGGCGCCGATCAAGGGGCAGTGCGTGGCAAGGTTGAAACCCCAGACGACGTGAGCTGGTGTCTCTAGGGAGCGTGCGCCGTTGGTGCCTGGCTGCGGCTCGCGCGCATGGGATGCGTGCAGGGGCTTAGTGCCCCCACGGTGACCGAACCGAACCGAACCGTGTTTGAAGGAAGAGGGAGGGGTGATGATAAGGATAGTGAGACCGAGGACGTCAATGACACGTCAATGATGTTGCGGCACCCTTCCCTCCAAAGTCCCTTCCTCGGAAATCCCTGCAAGTAGTCCTCTCCACTGCGGGGGCTACTCCCTTGAAAGGCGAAAGCCCGATATGCGTGCCATGAGCTTTCAGGCCGCCCACGGTACAAGACAAAGTCATACTGCATCGGCGCAAAACTTACATGGCTTTTGCGAGACTTTGGGCGTGTACAGTTGTGTACGTGGAAACCTTACGAAGCAATGCGTTGAGTTGAAGGCAGCGTTTGGCGACATCTCATGGAACAACAATCAATGTGTGAATTTGTTTTTGCGTGTCAGTGGCACATTTTCTGCCATGCTCTCGTTTTCGTCTCGAGTGTAGATTGTTGACGCAATCATTGGTCCTTTGGGACTTGTCGAACATAGTACTTGCGTCATTAGCCGCAGCTCGTGTATAAAACGAATGCTCGGATTGCTCGTCGGAAGTGATGAGGAACACCCCGTCGCATAGGAACGTGTGGTGCACGCAAGAAACTGTTGACCGTCTAATGAAACAAGTGACGACGTATCATCGAGTCGGGCGTACCGTACTATGACGACTGCTGCGCTTCTGGACCTAGTCAGAAATCGCTTTTCGACCACGGCCACTGCCCCGAAACATGGCGCTACAAGACAGCACCACAGACATTGGTTCGCGCCAGTGGAAGGCTCCCTTACTTCGGCTTCATTTTCCGTGGGCCTTCACTTCCTCCCTCTCTCCGATGTCATGGCCCCCTTCTCATCTCTCAGCTCTTCGCCTGGCCTTCCTCGTCCGTGCACGTGCTCAGGGCCATGATGCGACCCCCGGCTGCTGGCACCCATTTCCGGCGCACACAGCTCCTGGCTCCCTCTCCATGTTCTGGTTGTAGTTTGTTGGTTTTGTTTGTAACGTGTTTTTCCCAATCACTTTGAGATGTTGGGCCTTCGTTTTGAAGAGACAGCGCCTCGTTCCCTCTCCTCTCCTCTCCTCTCCTCTCCTCTCCTCTCCTCTCCTCTCCTCTCCTCTCCTCTCCTCTCCTCTCCTCCTCCTCCTCCTCCTCCTCCTCCTCCTCCTCCTCCTCCCCAGCCCCTGGCCCAGGCCCCCACGCGCACATGGCCGTTTCCGACATGTCGAAGTAGCCCCCAACCGCGCCGAGCCTGGTGGGGTTCATCCGGATTTCTAACTCTCTCTCACACACATTTTACGGCTATTAATGTGGAGTTTATTCTTGAATTTCGTCTTGTACAACCCTCTGCACATGATAAGCAATTTAATGGCCGAGGATATTTCTGAGACGCCGCGTTTCGCAAACATCATTGTGTGTCCCGCCACCACACACCAGCTATAATTGCTTGCTGGTGGTTGATTCCTCAGAGGGTGGAGCGTCATGAGGGTGTGTTTCTGCTTTGTAGTCCTTTCTGGCTCAAGCCATTTTGGCTGAGCCACTGACCACCGCGGCCTCCAGGGCAGTGGATGCGCGCGGCGACCCAGGGTGTGGTGCTCTTGGCCTTCCACGTCGGCTCGGCTTGGATCGGGCAGGAGGGGGCAGCCGCCCGCGCGCAGCGAGGCCCGCCCCCGCCGCTGCCCGTGAAGGCGTGGGCACCCGCCCCGCCGGCGCGGGGCTGTCCTGCTGCCGCGGCGCCGCCGACCCCCGCGCTGGCCCAGGAACAGTGCGCGGAGCTGGAGGCGGCCAAGGTCGACTTCCACTGGGGCGTCGAGGTCTCGTTCGCAGCCTCTGTCGTGCTGGGTCGCGGATCGGCCGCGTGGGTGCACTACGATGCTGGCGAGCTTCCCGCGATGCTCGTCGGCTCCCTCGTCGAGAACGGTGTGCAGGCGGTTGTGTCGCCCGACTTCGACGTCTACGAGGAGCAGCTGAGCCTCGACAGCGACGGCTTGGAGGGGATCCGCTTCTCGGCTTCGGTCGACGTGCGGTTTCGAGGGGTCCCCGCCCCTGACGGTGTGCTCTACACTTTCGCGACGCTCACGCCCACCAAGGTCAACAAGCTGCTGGCGGAGGGGGACCAGGTGTGTAACCTGGAGCGGGCCCACCGCGGGCTCCCGCTGGTGGGCGAGGCGGCTCGAGCGCCAGGAGGCGCCGCCGCGGTGGTGATGCCCGTGCCCGCCGTGGCCCCTGCGCCTGGGCCCCCCCGTCTCGTCCCAGCAGGCGGGGCGTGGGTCCCCGCGGAGCCGTCCGTGGGCCACGACGTCGGCGAGGAAGTCACGCTGCCTGCAGGGACTGCGGGGCTGGGGACCCGTGCCCTCGTGGTGATCTACGGGGGCGTCGCCATGCTCGAGCAGCTGGCTGTGGGGGCCGACATCACTCGCTCGGGCCTGGCGCAGAGCAACTCTCTCTGCTATGACCCGAGGATCCTGGCGCGGTCCCCGACGGAGCGGACCCTGGCCGACGCCGTGCGCACGATGACGTCGTGCACGTGGCAGGCGGAGGGCCTCCCTGCCCCCCCCCTGCAGGGGCCCGCCATCGGAGCCGAGTGGGTCAACCCGGTGGCCAGGGATGGCGAGACCAGTCTGATCGACTGCGCCAGCCAGCGAGTGGCGGCGTGAGAGCGGGGTCGAGACCCACAGCTAGACCGCCCACGAGCACGCGATCCTCCACAAGACCGTGCTGCTCCTGGCGACGAGGGACGGGCTCAACGTGAAGAACTCTCCTCGGTGTCGAGCTCCTCCTGAGGCGGACCACCGTGCATGAGGAGGCCGTGGCTGAGAATCTCGAGGCGCCGAGCTACGAGGGGTCGGACCACTACCTAGGGATCGGCGAGCGCTCGGGAGGGGCCCAGGTGGTTTCTTCGCTTGGGGCCCATGCCGCAACCGAGCTCAGCGGCAAGGCAGCGAATCCGAAGGAGAAGCGGAGGGCACGGGAGTGCAGGCGTCGCGGTGGCGAAGGCCAAGGCAGACCCCTCGGCCTCCGCCAAGAAATGAAGAAGGGAGCGGGGGCGGCGCCGCGAGTAGCCGTCCCCGTCTCTGACGTGATAGCTGGCTCGAGGTCTGAGGGGGTCTCCTCCGACCGCAATTTTGGAATGCGTCGTCCTGAGGCCTGGCCTCGCCGACGGCAAGAAGCAGCAGGGGATTGGTGTGGCCGTGGTCTCTTTCCCCTTCCTGACGTTCCTCGTGCTCAGCGTCCTGGTACCGGTGCGGGAGGAAGGCTCGGCTGCGCTTCGAGCGCTGGAGCGTCGTCCAGTCGGCGGCGCAGGAGGCGGTCGACGGCCTGAATTCTTCACGCTTCGCGTATCCCCGCCAGCCCATCTCAAAACAGAAACTCTTGCGAAACATGAGGCCTCGTGGTGCCTCCTGGGGACCTCTTGTGGGCCATCTGGGGAACTCTAGGGGCCATCTGGTGGGCCTCTGGGGGCCATCGTGGGGGGCTTGTATGAGCGCTGCCCGTCCTCCTGGTGTGACTCGTTCGGGCTCCTCGTGGTGTGAGTCGTTCGAGGCCCGCGTCGTGGTGTGAGTCGTTCGGGC